CACTGCCTGAACAGACACTCACATTGTGTGAACAGACACTCCCTTTCTGCACGAACAGACACACTGACTGCACGTACAGACACACCTATATCTGGACAGACATGACATGCATACCTCCTGACGAACAGGTATGTCCCTTGTCAATGACCTTTTCTTTAGTTTAGGATGTGCCTTTTGATATAGAACTGGACCTTTGATCTGCTTTCACGTTTCTGGGTCCTGGAGAGATAACCCTTCACGATGCTTTACTTTCACAAGGCCTGTATCGGGTAAAGGCTCTTTTACTCTCGCTGGCCTAGATTCGAAGTCCTCTGAGAAATCACTCACCTATCAATGATATTGATTCCCCTCTTTCCTCTTTCATATGCAGATACAATATGAGGTGCAGAATCTAATAATTCTTCCCTTGTGAACCAGCGATCCTCATTAGTATCCTGGTATGCAAATCTCACCTTATATTGACGCTGTGGTCTGCCTCTACGTCCAGTGTGGTAAGTACTTTCCGCAACAATCTTATCCACGTTATACTTTCCATCCATACTTGGAGGTATCGCGGACCTGTGACTGGGGAATAACTCATTTGTTACACAAGGTAAGAGTTTTGATGCGTGGAACACCGGATAAGTATGTAAATGTAGAGGAATCTCAATAACATATGAAGGACCATCTACATCTCCAATCACATCTAAGACCTGTCAAGGTCCTCTGTAGGCGGGTAAAAAGCTTTTGAGAAATGTTTTCCTCAGGAGCAAACTCTCTAGACTTCATCCAAACTAAATCTACTACAGCAAATTGAGATGGTCGTCTGTGTTTATTTGCCTGTTCGATCATTTGATGTTGTGCTTTGAGTATATTTTTTTCTACTCTTTCAATGTCTTTCTGATATTGGATCGCAAATTCACTAGTCCCTAGAGGAAGCTTATGTACTTGATCCGGGTTTAGCCTATCAATGGGCCTGCGTGAACGCCATCCCAGATGTAACTCCATAGGAGTCTTACACGTAGAAAGGTGTATAGAGTTATTATAGGCGCTAGCAATCTTAGGCAGATGTTCATCCCAGTCAATCTGATCCGGACAATGTACATACGCAGAGTTTGTTGCAATATCTTGTTCATCTGCTCAGTCTGGCCATTAGTCTCAGGATGTCTACCTGATGACATAGTCAACTTAGAGCCATACACATTCATTAGTTTCTCTCATTGCTCACTTGTGAACCGGGTATCTCTGTCACTTACAACAGTTAAGGGATGTCCGAAGTCTTTTACCCAATGGTTAAAGAACTCCCGAATTACCGAATCAATCTTTGCTTCCGAAGGCAAAGCTACAAAAACAGCATACTTTGTGAATCTATTCACTATGACCATTACTTGTGTCTTCCCGTTTCTGCTTTTTACCTTAGTATCCATGAAGTCTATAGATACAGAGTCTCTAGGGCCCGCAGGGATAGGCAAGGGCTTAAGTAGCCCAGGGGGCGATTGCGTAGTGCTTTTGTTTCGTTGGCACACTTGACAACCTTGCACATATGCGATACAGTCTGCTTTCATTTGACGCCAGGTGTAGGAACGCAACAAAGTCCCATATGTCTTTTTCCACCCAAAATGGTCTTCCGTGTCATGGCATTCCCCTAAGATCAAGCTCTTGATCTCTTCATTATTTGGTATGCATAGCCTATCATTCACATCATTTCGTTCAAATAATAGACCCTGAGTAACCTTATGATCAGGAAACTCTGCTGGTTTTTCTTGTACTTGCTTAATCATTGTTCCATAGACAGAATCAGAGGGATACGCATTCCTAATCTTCTCTTGTAGATCAGTGCCAACATCTAGATATGTCACAATGGCACCGAAAAAGTCAGATCTACGACTTAGTGCATCAACAACAACGTTATATTTACCCTTTACTGACTTTAGTTCAAAGTCAAACATATCAATCTCCGCAGCCCACCTTGTTAGCTTAGGTGTCATTCGAGTTTGCGTTTTGAGCCAGCGAAGTGTCTCATGGTCAGAGTATACCTTAAAATGTCTTTCCAGAAGATAGTGTCGCCAATGATTGAGAGCCTCACGAAGAGCATATAACTCCCTTTCATAGGTCGAAGCGGCTACCTTCTCATTAGGCAATCGACAAGACATAAACTCTACAGGCCTGTATCCATGCCCATCGTCTTGCTGGAGTACAACACCTATGGCATATTGACTAGCGTCGGTTGTGACCACGAAAGGTAAGGAAGGGTCGGCAACTTTCAGAACCGGATAATTAATCAGACACCTTTTCAGACGCTTGAAGGACATCGCGCAGTCTGAATCCCACTTCCAAATTACCTCTTTCTTGAGCAACCTGCGAAGGGGAGCAGCTATTATCGTAAAGTGTCTTACAAACTTTCGATAATAGTTGGCTAACCCAAGGAACGACCGCAACTCAGTCAAGGTGCGGGGGCTCGACCAATATCTGATTGCTGCTATTTTTGCATCTTCCGGTTTGACCCCATCTCCATCAATTACATGTCCTAGATATAGAACCTGACGCTTTGCCCACTCACACTTCTTTGGGTTTATCTTGAGTTTTGCTTCTCGTAGTTTATTTAGCACAAATCGAAGGTGCTCATCATGCTCTTTTTCGTCTTTACTAAAAATCAAAATATCGTCTAGATAGATAATAACAAATTTGTCAAGCCATTCACGAAATAGTTCGTTCATCGTTCTTTGGAAAGTGGCAGGGGCATTCGTTAGACCAAAGGGCAAAACTATAAACTCATAGTGCCCATACCTTGTCCTGAAGGCAGTCTTATGTTGGTCTTCCGGCTCAACCTCAATGTGATGGTAGCCGGATTTCATATCAATCTTCGAAAATATCTTACAACCCTGCACACGATCCAACAAATCATCTATTCGCGGCAATGGTTCAACATTCTTCACTGTTATATCATTTAACCTTCTATAATCTATACACATGCGTACGCCGCCATCCTTCTTAGGCACAAAGAGCACAGGCGCACCATAGGGTGAGGAGCTAGGTCTTATCCATCCATTTTCCAACAACTCATCGAGTTGGGTTCGCCGCTCATCCAATTCCTGAGGCGACATACGATAGATAGGCCCCTTCGGGGGCGCGCTCCCTGGAATGATATCAATGCGGTGTCGGATTGGTCTTTCTACCACACCGCTTGGGGCTTCAGCCACATCTGCGAACTCTTTTAGGATTCTCTCAATCTCTTGAGATCGAACTTCTTCCTTACTTTCTCCTTCCTTTATTGGACGCACATATGCAACAAAGACTTGATCATACAAGTTGTGTTTTCTTACATGGCGAGCGAACGCTGGGGCACTCATGCAACAATGAGCTAGGCTGCTTTCTTTCCCAGACTCATGATAGAGACGAATTTTCTTCTTACCTCCTTGCGGACTTGGGAGCCAACATTCATGCTCTCTCAATTTCAGATCCGCATTTGCAGCCTCACCCCAATCCATTCCTAGCAAGACATCACAGGGCAAGTTATCCTCCATCAAGAAGGTCAGAGAGTGGAGAACACGTTCCACCTTCCCCTCTGCCTCTAGCCGAAAGTATACTTGAACCCCCTCGACGTATCGATCCATAACGCTTTCACTACTATTAG